GCGCCACCAGCCTGCTCTCTCCCCAGGTGTCTGGCCCAGGCCGCTGCGGCCGCATCTGCGCCAGAGCGCGGCCCCGGGGCGAGCCCGGCCGGGCGGCAGGACACTGGCAAGCGCCGCGACGCCCGCCGTCAGCGAGCCCGAGGACAGCATCGGTAACGCAGGCTCCTCTGCGGGCTTAGGGGGTTGCGGGGACGGCGCCTGGCCTCCCATTCGGGGTTGAAATCGTCTGCCGCGAGGAGTCCCGAGTGCCCTGGCTTCGTTGTGACGCCCTGGGGAGGGGGTGCGGGCCCAGGAAAGAAGGGGCAGCCTGCCTCCCTCTCTTGCCCCAGCAGCCCCGCAGGCTCTGGGCAGGGGTCACCTGCACTTCAAGCGGCGCTGCCCGGCCTCCCTCTCAGCCACCCTCATCTGAGGATGGGGCTAAGGCCACCGCACTCCTGGGGCGGGTGGGGGGAGGGAGACACCAACACGTGGCTTGGCTCCTTGGGAGGTGCCCTCTGCCCTGCTGAGTCCTCCCTGGACTCCTGACGGGGGACCTTCCTCTGGTGGCTGGGAGGTACCAGAAGGACCTCAGAAACCAGCTGGACCCCTCCTTTCTGGGTGAAGACTGGACCGGGGTTACCCAGGAGCGCGGTCAGAACCTGGCTCCAGCCCGTCTCCTGGAGAGGACCCTGTGGCACCTAGCGTTCATCTGCTGGGCTTCACTGCCCCTCCCCGCCCCCATGGTGCTCCCCTCCAGGGTTGGGAGATGGGGGGGCCACAGACCACGGCATCCTCTCCCCCCCCATCCCAGATGTCAGCGACAAGATCCTCAATCAGCCCCTCAAGCACTCCGACTTCTTCAATGTCAAAGAGTTGTTTTCCGTGAGAAGTCTCTTCGATGCCCGCGTGCACCTGGGCCACAAAGCAGGCTGTCGGCACAGGTAGTGGACACCCCAGGCCGGGACCCTCCAGCCTCGGGATCCCCGCAGTCCACGGCCCCTTTTATAGCGGCACGTATCGGTGTGAGCGCAGGCCCGTCGTCAGACTCCACTTTGGGCCCCACACCAGACTTCGTACCTGTGAGGCCTCCGGCCCTAGCAGGGGCACGCCCACCACTGGCAACTCCTGGGGGCGGGGGGCTCCAGGCTTGCAGGGAAGGGTCTCAACGGGATGGCTGCGTTGCAGATGTTTTGGAGGGATAGTTGGGAGGCCAGGGACGGGGGTGGTCGGAGACATCCAGGGGGACGACGATGGGGGATGACGCTGGGGCCCAGCTCCCAGGGGCAGAAGAGCTGGAGCTAACCGCCCCCCCCGCCCCGCCTCTTGGCTGTCACCGGACAAGGGTCTCCACTTCTGTCCTGGTGGTGGGGCTGCAAATTGTGCCAGCTCTGGGGATGGTGTCCCTTGGAGACCATAGGCCTCGCAGCCCCCAGGGCTGTCCACAGAGGGCCCCGGCGGTTGCTGGCCGAGGTTGGCCGTGTGCGTTTTGCCCACTCTTGCCTCGGTGGGGTCTCCGGCAGGTTTATGGAGCCGTACATTTTTGGGAGCCGCCTCGGCCAGGACATCATCGACCTGGAACAGACGGCCGCGCACCTGCAGCTGGCGTTGAACTTCATGGCCCACGTGGCCTATCGCAAGGGCATCATCTTGTTTGTGGGCCGCAACCGGCAGTTCTCACACCTGATTGAGACCACGGCCCGGAACTGTGGCGAGTATGCCCACACCCGCTACTTCAAGGGCGGCCTGCTGACCAATGCCCCACTCCTCTTGGGCCCCATGGTCCGCCTGCCGGACCTTATCATCTTCCTGCACACGCTCAACAACGTCTTTGAGCCCCACGTGGCCGTGAGAGACGCGGCCAAGATGCACATCCCCACGGTGGGCGTCGTGGACACCAACTGCAACCCCTGCCTCATCACCTACCCCATCCCCGGCAACGATGACTCGCCCCCATCCATCCACCTCTTCTGCAGGCTCTTCCAGGCCACCATCAACCGGGCCAAGCAGAAGCGGAGGCAGATGGAGGCCCTGTATCGACTGCAGGGCCCAGAGGGGCGGGGGGCCAGGGGTCAGGGGTCGGCTGCCTCTCCTTCCCTGGGAGCCTAGGCTAGGCTGGACCTGGGTCCCTCCCGGCGACGGACCCACTCCCCTCCCGAAGGAGAGTAGCAGCCAAGCCTGCCCCTAAGCTGGGAGCCCCTTCCCCTTCCTGGCCGTGGTCTTTAGCAGGTTCCCCATTGTTCTAGGCATTGATTGGGTCCCTGCTTTTGGTGACCGTTCTTGGCAGCTGCCCCCCCGCCCCGGGGCCCCACTTCAGACCCACGGGGCCCAGCGGGCACACAGAGCAGGCAGCCCGTCCAGAGAGGACCCGTCGGGAAACACGCTTGTCCCGGAGCCTGAAAAGCCTCACACCTTGAGTTTTGTCCTCTCGCTTTTCAGTCCCTGCCAACCTACACCACTTCAGGGCTGCTTCCTCCACGGCACGGTTTCTGGGGCTCTGTCACGTGAGGCCACAGGGCGAGTCCCCTGGAGGATCCCATCTGGGTTGGGACACGCCAGGCCAAGCGGACCGCATGATTCCCACAGAAAATAAAGCTTACGTTTGGACAAATGTGGCTCTGGGGCCTGTGGCTTCCACAGTGTGGCTTATGTGCTTTTGCTCGTGGATGTGGCATTTGTGAAACCCCTACGGGGCCCGCAGAGCCCACAGTACTCTCAAGCTTCATGTGCTCAAGCCACTCGGCACTTGGTGGCACACACGGATTTGTGGGGCCTTCTCTGCAGCACCCATGCTCCTGGAATGAGGTGCTCGGCCCCCGTCCCTCCGAGCTTCAGAGAGGCCGGCTGTGAGGAGCCCAGACCCCTTGAAATCCAAACGCGATGTAAAACCATGCTGTGAATGGGAGTCCTGGGACCTGCGTGGGGCCCCAAGAGCCCGAGGGGGCCAGAAAGCCATACCAGGCTTGAGAAGCAGGCCGTGGAGGGAGGGGCATCCCAGGCTGGCCCCCGGGCCGCTCAGGTCTGGGCTGGACAGTGAGCGACATGGGGGGAGGCAGAACACACGTGGGATGTGGGATCGGCCCCGTCCTGTCCTGGTTTAGGGACTGAGTACAGGGCAGTGGCGCCCCCCCCCCAACCACCAAGGGAACTGTACTGATGGCCGGCCTGGCCCTGGACCTCCTCTGTCCCCTGAGGGTCCCCTGGAAGCTGCACACGGAAGGCTGCTGGAGACCAGCAGGGGTGACAGGAGTTGTTACTGGTCACGGCTATGGTCCTGGGGGCGCTGGGGGCAGAGCAGGGCAGGCAGGGGAGCCCCTGCTGAGTGGATACCTAGCTGGACGGGGAGACACAAGGGAGCAAGACACCTTCAGGGCGATAGGGACCCAAAGGCGAGGTGCAGGCTTCTGGAACAGACAATGTGGGGCCGCTCCGGGAAGATCAAGGAGGCCCCCAGGCCATTTCTAAACTGACCTCTAAGGCTGACCCTGGCAGGAGGGGACCTCCAAGCTTGCCACCCTGGAAGTGAACCCCAGGAGAACCCAAAGCAGCCAAAGGAGACGGTGAGTGTGCCCGAGGCCTGGGAGAGGCAGGGGACAGGCCTCCCAGTGAGCACAGGGGGGGTCGCCCCCAGCCCTTCCCCGCCTTCCCTGCTGCAGTACCTGACCTGCCACGTAGACCTGAACTCCTCTGGGCCCGGGCAGGGACGCGGCCTGACCAGCTGCTGTCATGACGGTGCTGGTTACAGCCACCAGAGCAAGGGCCTGGGAGAGCCAGGCTCCTGGATTCAGGACCACGGTGAGAATGAGTGCCATGCCAGCAGCGAGGGCCAGGGAGCTCAGGGGGAGTGTGGGGACGAGGACGCTCCAGGACCAGGCTCGGGGAGGGCCGGGAGGGTCTCCTGCCCCGACGCCATCCAGGACACTGACGACCTGGGTGCCACGACGGCTGTGCCCCTTACGTGGCCATAATCTCAACCCAAGGGGTCCGGGCTGCTCCCTTCACACACACACCAAACACACACACACACCCGGTCCAGCCCCAGCCTTGGCCAGGTACAAAATCACCCTTCA